GTACCAGCCTCCACAAGGGAGGTAACTCAAGCTCCACAAGGGAGAAAAAAATATATAATAATGATGTCCTCCGACTCAAGGGAGGCATTCAAGTTATAATCACGGTGTCATGGAGGACCTTGCAAACCCTCACGTCCCGATGATTGCGCGCAAGTGGTACGAGCACTCGGGCCCATCAGTAAGAAAGATAAGATAAGATAAAAAGATTCTGATAAGACATCATAATTAAGCATAATTGGCTCATGCATATTTATTCATGTGAACTTACAGTTATTTTACGAGAGATGGTTCCTACTTGCTGAGCGAAAGCTCATTATAGAATGTTTATACTGTAGGTAAGCAACCGGCATATAATGCCTGATGGACTGCTGGCGAGTGGACGAATGATGTGGGTCTCGGGATATGGATACCACTCGCAAATATTTCCGCAATCAGCTTTATGTTACAAATAGTTTTGTTAATTATGATTATGAAACAGATATGTTAAGGTTTGAATATTTTAATTAAGAAAGTAATTTCGTATTTTATGTTTATTATAAGACCTTTAAAAAAAAAAAATGTTCCGTAAATTTTAAGAAATTTCAGTAAGTACAAGTTAAAAAGTTAGTTACAGTGGCGGCCTCAAAAGAGGGTCGCTACAATAACCCTATGTCGGTCAAGTTCTGACATAAAAATGAGCCATATTTAATAATACGACATAGACCGTATTAATTAACTATTTGTAATAGTATATACAATACGATGATCATACCAGATATTGTATTAATGTATTATTATACAATATAGTGTTTTAATACGCTCTGTGCATATATATATATGTATATATATATATTTGTTCACTATCTGACATCCGTAGTTGCATCACGACTATATTTTAACTGTGAAATTTTAATTTAGCCGTGCGCATCAATTGATCTATATGTTCATTTGTACTCTTGGAATCTAAATCATAGTGTACAATTTGTTTGCTTTTTAGATGTGTTTGTTAGAAGATAAGACCATTATTAGCCCACTTCTTAAGAGCTTAAGGTTTTTAGAAGAATTAAAAAACTAACATGGTATCAGAGTAGGAGGTCCTGAGTTAAAATCCCTACAAATACACTATTTAACCCCATTTAAAAATGTCCATTTGTTAGGCCGAACTAAAAAATGGTAAAAAACAAACAAAAAACTCAGCAAATAGCAAAATAATTTGTTCGGCCTACATTTGAGGGGGAGTGTTAGAATATAAAACCATTATTGGCCTACCTTCTAAGAGCTTAAGCTTTTAAGATGAATTAGTAAACTAATTTAAGTTTTTAAGATGAATTGGTAAACTAATTCAAGTTTTTAAGATGAATAAGTTTTTAAGATGAATTGGTAAACTAATTTAAGCTTTTAAGATAAATTGGTAAAACTAATTTAAACTTTTAAGATGAGTTAGTAAACTAAATAGTGTTTAGCCCTGACATAGGAAATGAAATATATATGCATTTGGGAAATATATATGCATTTGGGCCATTATGTTTGTCAAGCACCAACCATGAATATGAACACACTGTCACTGTACCACATTTCTATCCACCAACACATTTATGTATACATATCATCCATTAAATGCTAGCAATAATGTTTTTATTTGGTGCATAAATAGATAAATCCTTAACCAATAGCTTCTCAATGGTAATATAAGCCAGACAAAAGTTATAAAACTATGTACTGCACCACGTTTCTTCCGATTTCTCTTCTCGTTATTTTTGCCCCTTCATCAACTCACATAAATGTTGTCCTTGGCTTTTTTAGCCCAAAAGCAAAAGGAAAAATGATAACTAAAAAAAAAAAAAAAAAAAAAAAATCGATGTCCTTAGTTAGTTTAAAAAAAAAGGGAAGGCGAAAAGAAAAGAAAAGAAAGTTGCAGGCAGTTTTGGTTTACAGCGGAGATAGTGAAGTGGTCACAATAAAGAATGGAACTAAAGTTCAATATTGTATTATAGTTGTTAGAATGAATAGATGAGCTTGCATTAATATATATTAAAAAGGTTTCAGAAATTAAATACGAAATAACAATCATTAAGCGTCTTGCAAAGATATATAGAGAGAAAGGTGGGATGTGAATTAAAAATGCACAATATTAAGAATAATACTATTGAACAAATCATACATATAAAAATGCACAATATTAAGAATAATAATACTATTGAACAAATCATACAAAAAAAAAAAAAAAAAAAAAAAAATCGATGTCCTTAGTTAGTTTACAAAAAAAGGGAAGGCGAAAAGAAAAGAAAAGAAAGTTGCAGGCAGTTTTGGTTTACAGCGGAGATAGTGAAGTGGTCACAATAAAGAATGGAACTAAAGTTCAATATTGTATTATAGTTGTTAGAATGAATAGATGAGCTTGCATTAATATATATTAAAAAGGTTTCAGAAATTAAATACGAAATAACAATCATTAAGCGTCTTGCAAAGATATATAGAGAGAAAGGTGGGATGTGAATTAAAAATGCACAATATTAAGAATAATACTATTGAACAAATCATACATATAAAAATGCACAATATTAAGAATAATAATACTATTGAACAAATCATACATATTGGTGGTTGAGCTTTGGAGCTTCTGCCAACTACTTTACATTAACATAAAATTACATATATATTTATATATAACAGAAAAGGAGAGACGAAGACAAACACAATTACAAGCTAGTATTTCTCTCGAGAATCTTTCTTGCTTGGTACCAACACATGAAAAATACATGAATTTAGGAGAGAAAAAGAAAAGTTATGGAGTAGGGAATCATTGGTATCATGCGTTTGAACCTAATTAGCCAGATCAGACTGGAAACGATGTGCAAAGAAGTCAAAAATTTTCGGGAATTTAGAACACTTTTTCTTCTTTTGTTTTAAATATTAATAATAATCAAAAAAAGAAAAGAAAAGAAAAGATTAAAGAAAGAAGACTAGAGACCTCGATTAAGCATGTCGAAGAAACACTGGTCGGATTGCAGCCTCTGAAGTCTGATGTCGTTATTGACCTTGTTTATGAAGGCTTCTGCTCTTTTGTTCAACTCTTCCTCACTTATTGACTTGTCTTTTCTCAACGTCTCCCACTTTCTCATTATCTCCCTCTCCAACGCAGCATGATCTTCACCGTCCATCTTCACATCATCATCATCATCATCATCAGCTGATCTCGTCTCCACTGCCTTCCCCTGCCGCTCCATGATCGCCTTCCACGTCGCCTCCATCGTCGAATACTCGTCAAGATTTGTCTCCGGCGGTGACGCCTGATCATCTTCGCCCACGATTTCATCGTTTGAATTATAATTAGATGTAAATCTATTATTTTTCTTCTTCTCGTCGTCCTCATCGTCGACTTTTGTCTCCTTTGTCTCCGGCCATGGTTCGTCAGCAATGAACTTCTTTTGTTGTAAGATTTGGAAGCTTCTCCAGCTGATGATACCATGATGGGAAACATGGCCGTGATTAGTGTTCTTGTCCATTAAAGACTTTTTGGTTTTGTCGTCTGAAGAAGGAGAAGAAGAAGAAGAAGAAGATTGTTGCTGGTTTCGCAGCGGGTTTGGGAAGGCGGAGGTGGCAGCAATGGCGAAGATGATGAAGTTGATGACGAAGTAGATGTAAAGAGGAGAGACCCAGCTCCTAAACGACAACCATAGCTGTGGAATGATGGAGAAACTTAGATAGTGAAAGTAAGGAATGACTGTCGTTTTGAGGAGTGTGAAAGTGGATACCATTCCCACAAATACCACTAACACCTTTGATCCCCATATTGCCCCCTCAAACTTCCTACTGACTTTCTCATATGAAGAAGCATTATTCATCTTCTCCAAGCCTTTTTTGGATTTATCAGACATGAAACACGGAAAATTGAGATAAACAGAACAGCGTACTAGAAAAAGGTATTCAATACCTGATATTTCGGAAAGATTAATTTAGATCTGCTAGTTTTTACCTCAAAATATTGGGCTAGCAGAGATCATCAAAGAAAGAAAGAAAGTATCATTTATCAGAAACAGAGTGGAAATAATAGTGAGACTCTGGATCTTTATAAATTAAACGAGTTTGATGATGAAAAAGGCACAGAAAAAAGTATAAATTAAACAATCAAATGGACATCTAAACAATTAAAAATCCTCCCGAGAGAGTTGCTCATCTCATTTCATTTGCCAACGCAAAAGAAAAGAAATTAAATGAGGAGTTTAGACATACAAAGAGCAGGATAGGGATAGACCCACCACAGCAAAAACAAAGGCCTTCTAATTTGGCTAAATACATCCCCTCCCAGAGGACTTGTACAAGGGCAGGTTATACTTCTAACTAGTATCACACCCATGGTGGAATCTTGGCCGTTCATTGTTGAAAAATCTCAACTCAACTGTTCGACCTATAAAGCAATATTATATGTCCCCTTGGTTTTGTTGCTACCTTAGGACCTAGAGCGTATAGACCTAATGGATAAGGAATTATTACAAGATTTTTGACCTTTGGAATTTAAAACTAAAAGTAAGGCAAAAAACTAATGTCCATTAACGGCGGTCTAGCGGCGTTATTCTATTATCAAAAGGTAAGAGCCTAATTATCCTATTAATATATCAAATAAATTAAAAAACTTTAGCATCACAAACATTATCATTAACATTAAGAAAAAAATAAAAAAGGAGATGACTATGGTACCGTAACGCTGATATACGTATTGATACTTACCAAACAATCTCTTAATAAAACTACTAAACGCATTTTTAAAAATGATTTCTGTATGAGATTAAAAACGTTTTTATTTATATTTTCATACAAAAAATAAAATCATTTTAGAATGACTTCCAAACGCACCATAAGATTCTAGTTTTCTTGGGGGCTTTTGCAACCAAATCTTTTTATTTTAAATGAAAAAAAAAAACACTCTTTCTAATGATTTTGGGCTGATTTGGTTAGGTAATATTTGATTTTAAGTCAAATGTCTATCCTTAATTGGAATTTTCTGGAGTAGATCATTGATTTAGAAGAGCTATTAGAAAAATACCTGGCGGATTTTTTCCTTTACATATTTATTTTTACAAAAAATTTATCCTACTAATAAAGTGTTACTGAGTAGTTTTGTGTGTACATAACCTTATTTATTGTCTGCCGAGTCTAACAATAAGAATTAATGAAATTCCTAAGAAACTACACCTATCATTTGTTAGAGAAATTAACTCTAGGGGCATAAAGGTCCTTTTCTTAACCTTTAGTTAAATAGGGTCATGCTGGAGGTAAAAATTGATGTTGTATAATAAGGGTAGATCTCTATCAGGAAACAAAAAGCAAAGACTATACTTTGTTGAAGAAAAAAAAAAAAAAAAAAGGACAGAACTTTCGTTTTGGTGCGAGTTTGGGATACAGTTCATAAGGAAAACAAAAATCTTGGCCCACTATTATAAGCTATAGCCTATAGCTATATATATACACACGCACACATTAGAAAGGATCAATAGAAGCTTCTTTTGATGAATTTAGCAATCGTCCTCTCTCTTTCTGGGTTGTCTTTCTTTCATTTCACTAATTATATATACCTGGAATTTTATTTTTATTTTTTGTATATTGGAAAATTTTAGATTTATGTAGTAGTATTATTGATTTTGACTTATTTAAGATTTTTGAGTTAGAATTATGAGTTCTTCATAATCAAAATTTACGGTACAATGGAAATGTTGTAAGAAAAGAGCATGAAAATATTGTAATTAAAAAAATTCAAGGGCAAATAAGGGGATGAATTAAGAAAAAATATGGAGGCAAAAAGAGAAAAGTTAAAAAAATAATTGGGCCCAGAGCACAACGTAGCTAGCTACGCTCCTGATTAGAACAGGCATGTTTTCCTCAATGCCGGTGTGGGTCCCTAAAAGTAAAATATATTGGACGGTCAATTAGTGCTCTTTTTCTCCATGGAAATGTTGGTCATTGCTTGGGCGGTTCTCTTCTGGGTATCGCTTAGTTGCCAAGCCAAGCACTCACCACTTTTTTGCTTCCTAATAATTATTAGGGCCTCCCTCTTTCATCGCACAAGTAGTCTTATATTTCTTTTCCTAGTGCTTTTTTGTTGTTGTTAAAATTATAATCACTCTCTGAAAGGTACTAGCTAGTAAAGAGAGTAAGTGACAATATGACTATCGTGGTCATGATTGGGTTACTCGATCGATCGATTGAGTACAATACGACTCCTAAATTTAATACAGTTTACAAAAGTAACTCAAACGTCCCACTAACTATTTTCACTCATATTTTTTAAAAACTCATAGTTCTAATAATGTAAGCAAATGTTAGTTTAAAGTTTATTCTCCATTTAGACTTTACATTACCAAACACCAATTTCAATCATAAAATACTCACACATGTTTAAACCCACACAATTCTAACTCACGAAGAAAACGGGGCCTAAGTTATAAATATTAGTTATGTTGTCTCGTTACAGTACTTTGTTATGAATATTTAATTATGTGTATAAAATTTTGAAGAGCTAGGGCAACAATCAACAAGAAATCGACTCGGATGCTACAATCAACAAGAAATCGACTCGCCATGAGTCTAATTCATGTATTAATAATAGTTGTTTTAACACTTACCGAACCGTTACTTTTACATAAATATATATGCTCAGATGACAATTTATTAACCAAAACAAAGACCATATGCTGGAGACAGTTTTTACAGTTAAAAAGAATCAAACAGAAAACCTTAATGTTGATATGGGGCATATACACACATTATTTTGTTTTCCCTTTTTTCGCTTTTCAGCTCGGAAGAATTACGTATTGTGGACTTCAATTCAATTCCTCAACAAAATAGTCTTTCAAAAGCATCCTAGTGACAGGATTAATAAATTAATAAAAACATTAACAACAAAGTTAATCAAAAGTTGCCCAACATGGAGGAGCTGCAGTAGTTGAACAATCCTTTTGGGAATCATGGACATGCAGCAACCTGAATTGGTCTGTGCCACAGTTGCTAATTTTCGCACCTTCCGATGTTATCGGTTGCTCCGTTGACGGCGGAGGTGAAGAAGTAGTAGTAGTACTAGTGCTATGATTTTTTATATCTAGTGACCCCTGCATATATATATATATATATATATGTATATATATATAAATAACATCAGGTATATGTTGATCGATTGAAGAATCAATTGAACATCAAAAGATTTAAAAATTACTCCGCGGGTTTTGGTTATTGGAGAAGCGGTTCGAGGTACGACGTGCTTTGTGAGAATTTCTTCTTCAAGAGAAAGACTTCTTGTTTTCCTAGGACTGCCACCACTTCCCACCACTCCTACCAAATTCACATTTCTGTTTATTTCGCTTGATTTTGCTGTCATTTCTGTACAAGCACTACTAGTGTTCTTCCCGATCCATCTTTTTTCCTCATACCTATAAGTTTCTAAGAGAATTTAGTTAAAAAAAGGAAGAGAGATAATATAAGGAACAAGTTGTATCTCCTGCTTTAGTGAGCAATTTACTTGTCGCGGATAAGCTTTTCGATTGCACTTCTGTCGAAATCTTTAGGCATTGTTGCTTCCCAATAAGAATTTGCCTTTAGATTACCCATAGCTGCTGGTAAAGAAAAAACACAGATGAACAATTAATTGATTGGCTTGCGACTAGAATACAGTTATCATTTTCTGAACAGGCCAGCTGAGACACATTGATCTTACATTCCATGAATGCAACTTGCTCGGGCAGCCATGTATCCAAACTAGTAGATCGCACCTAGTAGAACAAATTTTTTTTTTTTTTTTTTTTTTTTTTTTTTTTTTTTTTTTTGAAGACATAGTTAGTTCTGACATAAACAAAAATTTGCACTAAATAATCATAATGATTGTGAGAAGGAAAGCATATAAAGCAACTTTTAAAATGGGATTGGAAAGGCATTCAAAAGAGACATTTTTTGTAAAATCGTATTATTTGGAATTAATCTATTTTATCATATCAACAACTTCTTCCCTATCTATGAAGCAACTACTCAAATCTTTTTTTAGTTTTTAGGACTACCATTATTGGAACACAGCAGAATACTTAATTTAGTTTCATGGTAAAAATTAACTTTCCAATGCTTCTGGGAGTGACAATATATAATCTTCCTCATAGAGTAACCACTTGTATATTTTATGTTATGCCTCGCTTATTGGCCTATTCTGTTAAGAACGAAAAATCTTCTAAGTAGTTCCGGTGATGAAATATACAAAGAAAAAGAAGATAAAACCTTAGAAATATGCACTCCAAGTCCCCGGTGAACACCAGAACATTGCATGCATATAAATATTCCGAGGTTCACACTTGCCCAACGTGGTGCCCTGCCAATGAAGTACACCTTAAAACAGTTTTTTATTTTTTTATTTTTTTTATTTTTAAGTCCATACTACATTAAAGTCCCTTTTGTTTTTTTACAACAGTTTTTTTTTTCGGTTTTTTTTTTTTTTTTTTTTGTATGAATGTATTGTATGCGAGGTGAAATTAAATAACAATTATTTTGAGATTCTTCATCAACCCAGGAATAAAAACACAGAAATTAGCTAATTAAAGTACTAATTAAGCAGAGTTATATATATATATATGTATATGTACAATGTAACAATTTAAAAGAAAAATAAAAATATGTACTTGGTCCGACAATCAGCACATTCCCTGTTTTCAGGCAACTTCAGAAGACCTTCTAAAATCTGCACGCAAAAATTACAACACCTTAATTAATTAATTAGAAATTAAAATTCCCAAAACTATATATGATCAATCTTTCTGACAAGCTAGCGCACATTTTTTTTTTCCTTTTCTTTGAAAAAAAAAAACAGAAAAAGTCAACAACAAAATGTCATTATTCTTCAATTCACAAATTAAAAAAAAAAATGGTATCTTGAATGAGTAAAGCAAAAGGAGACCTTGGTGTGCTTGGCATTCAGCTCCTTTGAGACGGAGGCTTTCTCGTTCATTATTTTCTTCTCTCTCTTTTTTTTTTTTCCTTTTCTTTTTTGGGGCAATGAGTATTGCCTTCACTTTTGTTGAATTGATCCAAATGTTATGAATGCCGTTCCTCGCATGGAAATAAAACGCAGAGAGAGATTGTGATTGTACGAAGAAAAAAAAAAGAAAAAGGAAACGAAAAAGTAGTTGAGAAATGAAAAAACTCAGACCCCAAAACATTCTTGTCCATTAAATGGACGAGTTTGCCAATCACTGGTTAAACTGATTCCAAGGGACACTTTTTCTTTTCTTCTATTTTCTTTTATTTTCTTTCCTTGCTTTTTTTTTTTTTTTTCTTTCTTTCTTTTTACACCATTTGTACCCAAAACGACACAACCACCTTTAAATAATAATAATAGAGTATTGTGTTAAATTGTCGATTAGAAAGCACATTCATTAAATTTCCATTATCCTAATTTAAATTGTAAAATAAATAACTTAAAACCCCGACTCTCAATTACTTACGCTCTACTTGGGAAGATGGAAAAAAAAAAAAAGAAAGGAAAGGAAAATTATAAGAGATAAAAAAATTAAAAGACACCACAACAAAAAAGAGATTAGACAACGCCTATTTAACGACGGTTTAAAAAAAAAATGTTGTTTAATGTGCGAAAAAACGCAATGAGATTCAGTCGCACACATAGATGACGGTTTTTTAAAAAATCGTCGTCTAATGTTAATAATTTTTTAAATAAAAAACGGGCTTTTTCCCGCTCACCCTTTTTTTAAAATTTTTTTTTATAACCTCGAGCATTTTCTTATGAGCTTTAAGTTTTTCTCTCAAATTCTCTCATCTCTCCTAAGTTCTCTCTCTCTCTCTCTAATTCTACCTCTCAACCCTTGACAGTTTTTCTTTCAAAACTCATCCTTTCTACACTCCTCACTCTACTAACAAACTGTGACGACCCTCCTTTGAGGCCGCCACTGTAACTAACTTTTTAACTTGTACTTACTGAAATTTCTTAAAATTTACGGAACATTTTTTTTAAAGGTCTTATAATAAACATAAAATACGAAATTGCTTTCTTAATTAAAATATTCAAACCTTAACATATCTGTTTCAGAATCATAATTAACAAACTATTTATAACATAAAGCTGATTGCGGAAATATTTGCGAGCGGTATCCATATCCCGAGCCCCACAT